GAACAGCCGACATCGTGCCTTCCCTTTACTGCACAGATTTCAGCTAAAGCTTCGCTGGAAACAGAACTTTTGTTGTCGGGAGTATTGACAGTAAACACATTTTGAAAACTTGCCCTGAGCCATGATGGGTGCATGGACAACCTGGCAGCTCTGAATGCAGGTTTCAGCACCAGGCAGCGACGAACTGAAGCAGCTAGAAGTTAGAAATGACAATAGTTTAAGTCTTTGATTATTCTTATGCAGAAGAGCCAAACAGTTGTCTGCAGCTTCATTCCTGTTTATGTGTTAAGAAATTACTGATAAATCAGGTCATGTTTATAATTTATTCATTTTGGTGCACCTGAAGGAAAAGCTCGATGCCCCAGTGCAACCAGTGTAAAGAAGTTAGTCTGGAGCCACTCAGGACCCAGTAGGAACCGACCCGCCGTGTCCGGGTCTTGTCCGGCGTCAGGGTTCGCTCACAATTAGGAGCTGAATAAATTGCCAGAAATGAGGAGGAGCAAGTCTGAATATTTTCATTCCTTCGCCTCAGTAACTCTTGTGAAGTCATGTACCGTGTCCTGGTTGATTAAACCGAAGCGCGCCGCTGAATATAACCGGCTCAAATAAAAAATAAATAAAGTTTGTTCAATATGAGTCAGCCGAGGTTTCTGACCACAATTAATCAAGATACAAAGAAAATGCAGGGATGGTCTATGAGACGATTAGTGTGCAGCGATTAACCTGTGAACCAACCATCTATTATCCTTATCCCATCACCGCAATGCCATTTTACATTACGTGTAATCTCGTTGTCTTCAGCGGGAAATACATTACCTTCAAGCATCCGGAGATGCAGCAGTAAGCCAGCGGTGCACGATTGAGGTCACGACCCCGAGAAATAATCTGCTTTTGGCATTTCTATTTTAAACGCAGATTAATCAGACAAAGGTAAAGGGTGACAGCTGAGGAGCAGAAACAGGGATGTTCCTGCAGTGAGGAAACAGCTGGGAGGAGGAGGAGAAGTTCACAATGTGGTTTGGATGCTTTAGAAGGTATGAATTAGCCTGATGCTACAGCTGACTGAGGCCTATAGATCCAGGGTTGGCTGACTGTCCACTGATACACTTTGTCCGCTGTGGCACCAACACACATGTTAGCAACACACATGTTAGTAACACATGTTAGCAACACACATGTTAGCAACACACGTTAGCAACACATGTTAGCAACACACATGTTAGCACTCCACTGCATCAGTCAGCTGATTCATGCGATGCTCATGTAACCGTTTACTTGTGTGGCTGTGAATCTGGTCTACGTTTATGGTGGAAGGTCATCTGATCTAACCTCTCTTCTTTGTCAGTATTTTTATTTTAGATGGAGACATGACGCTCACACAGGTGTGATCTTGTAGGAATCTGAAATCTGGGCTTTAGTAAAGGAGCACCATGACTTTGTGAAGCTTCATGACCTCCAGCTGGCACAGTTTGATCAGATCAGGTCAGGATCAACCAGAACAGTTCATCTGGAATCCAGCTGCATGTGTAAAACCAACAGAGAACAAACGTCCAGCGTTCAGAATCTGACATGAATCAGTGACTGATTGATAACATTCATGAAGCAAACTGTTTATGACGCCTGTGTGACAGCAGACAAGTAAAGAAAATCTGAAACTTTTCAGACAGATTTTGCCATTTTGCTGTATTTTTTTTTTTTAGTTAAGCTTCAGTTGAATAATTACTGACTAGTACATTTAGACAGAACGTTACAGCCACCAGTGTGACTGTCACACAAAGAGAGCAGAAATCATTTCCACAGCAGCTCAGACTCACTCAGACATGATGCATAACTCACATCTTAAATTGCAGTCTGCAATTTGCCAATTGGATTGTTTCAGATTTTGATTTGAAGCTGATGAACTGTTGAGCCGCAGTGAGCAGGAATCAGAACACGTATTCACGCTGCACAAACTCAATTAGATCAATTTGGAATCAAGTCAGAAAACGAGTTTGCTCCGTTTGGCTCGTTTGTTACGTCTGACATTAAAGGCGGTTCTGGGTCCAAACGCTCAGACGTCTGATTTAACACGTAAACAACACAAACACGATCACTCATCTGTCTGGTGAGACTCTAGTGAGTGTTAGAGAGGATAACTGGAGGAGCTCTCTGGTGGTACATCCATGGAAACGAGGATTTACTGATCGAGAAAACCTAAACTTCATCTAAAAACGACGTTCTGACTGAGGTGTTTCTGAAACAGCAAAAATGTACAAGACTGCCTTAACTCTGGATGCAAGCTCAGATGAAGGATTTAAAATGCACCCGTCAGGTTTTAAAGGGACGGTGAAGTTCGGCATTTTGGATGTCTTCTGCAGCTCTTTGCTGATGTTTCATTGCTGCTCTTGTTTGGAAACCTTCTAACTCTGGTTCTGAGGGCGCTACAGAAAGGAAGTTGTGTGTTATTATGATTATTAACAAACGGATCTGCCACTGATCGTATAGGGAGATGTGTGAACCCTCACAGGTTTCATCTCTCTTATTAGGACTTGACTCCTCTTAACTCCCAGCTAATGGAGAAACAAACCGACCTGTGAGCTCTTGGGTCATCATTTATTTGCATGTTTAATTATCAATACGTTCAGCGTTTGTTGATGCATATTTTCGCTGGTCCGATGACTATTTCATGATGGTGGAGCGACGTTCTGCCAGCTCAGCGTGTTCGTGTGAAGGTTGCATAAGCTTCCAAGAAACGAGGTCAGAGGAGAAAAGGCTGGAGGTCCACGAACGGAGACACGTTTACGTCCTTAGAAGGACTCAGTGTTTCTGATACGGGACGGAAAACAAAAAAACAAAAAGGTAGTGATGCATGATATTAGGATTTCTGGCCGGTACCGATATCTGATATTAATGTTTCTGATATCGCCGATAACCGATGTTACTGATGTCGATATTCAGTTTTTGTTTACACTGAAAAATGAGCATCAGCACTGTGAGAACATGGAAGCTATTCAGAAGAAGACCACATAGTCTTCTTAATTACATAACAAAAGTAAAACATATTTAAACATATATAAACATATTCAACGTTAAAGGACCATTCAAGTAAAACCATCTGTGAAATAGCAGCGAGTGTGGAGACGAAGGCGCTGATGTTAGACAATCAGCAGTTTTTCACATCGGCTAAATTTGATCATCGGATCGATACCGATATATAGTAAAAAACACTAATATCGGCCGATATCGATGTGGTCGCCGATATATCCTACATCCTTCGTTTATTGTCATTGCTGTTGCATTTGTTGCTCTCCTTGGAGAATGTCGATGTCATTCTTGATGACATCTGACCACGACAGCTACAGCATTTTCTGACACAACTTTAAATGTGGAGCTGCACACCTTTAAGCCAGATGAGCTCCGTAACATCTCACCCCCTGGACTGCTGTCATGAATAGACAAGACAGCAACAGAACCCAGAACAGTTGTTTGTACCAGGCTGTAAACACGATTATTTCTGCTGTAAAGTTGGACATTTTAACACGGAGGTCGATGGGGATTGACTCGCTTTCAGGATCAGCCTCAAGTGGACGTTTCAAGGAACTGCAGTTTCTGGCACTTAGAAATTGTCCCAAGTGTTCAGCCCAGAGGTTGCTGCTTTAGCTTTTACAGCCCAACCAGCAGTTAGAAGTGTCACCGTACGGCAACTCTGTTGACTTGGGTAGAAAAAAAAATGTCCTGGAACATGTGCATCCCAGGAAAAGCTGCAGAAAGACACCTCAACAGTTTTCTGGACTCAGATCTGTCCAAACAACACAGAATAAGACAACAGCCTCAGCAGAGTCTTGGACCCACAGACGGCATTATAGGAACAAGTCAGCTCCTAATAAGCCGACAGTAATGAGGCAGACTCTTCGTTAACCCTTAGAGTCCTGATGGATTCAGTCCCCACATCCCTTCTTCTCAGCTGAATCGCTGTCCAAGTATTTATTGCAGTGAGGTGCAGCACGTATCAGATTAAGCTGTGAGGCTTGACCTTTCCGACAACGCTGGCCGCTTGTGATGAGGTGTAAAATAATTCTGAATTTACATGCAATTTATTCATAGTTACATCCTGCGTACAGCTGTGCGTCCGTCCCTGCATGCAATGCTCTTGTTTGAATTACTTATGAACTCATCACTGCATTGATATGTTAATATTTAGATATTTATGCAATGCGACCATTTCATAAATATTAACATATCTATGTGGTGTGAAGCGAAATCACCCGCCAGCCACGGCTTTAGCAGAGGGACTATTTTTTAAACTCTACTAGCTGCTTTTATGCCCATCTCCAGCCTACTTTATAATATATTCCCACAATAAAGAACATTTACAACCAGTGTCAAAGTCATTTCAGTGTATCAGCCACAGATTTATACAGGTGTGGAAGATTACATCCCTCTGAGCTTCATAGGTGCTGGAGGCCTCCACTGATCCGTATCAGACGGCGACACCTTGATGACGCCTAATAAGACCAAACAATGTGGCGATAACAATCAAATTAGGTGCACAGAAAGCACAGCGAGGCGGCAGAGGCGCTGAGATATTTTAAATAGATGGAGATGTTGTGACATACCGCTGTTAGTGCTCTGGTGTGCGTTCCTGGATGTTTCTTTGTGCGTCTGGAGCGAGGCAGCAAATGAAACTTAATTGAGTCGTCTGCAGGGTGCAGCTCCTGACAAGCGGCGCGCTGCAGAAGTTGTTTGCTGCTGCCGGAACGACAGCTAAACTTTGATCTGATGAGCGCGAGTGTTGGGTAAACTGTTACCTGCGGCTAGATGTCAAGGAAAATTTCTCCCTCCAAGTTTTACGCTGACGCTAAAAACTCTGCCTGTTTGCTTCCTCCGCAGATCCCAGAGCGCTTAATGCCATTCACGCCTTCACCCAAGTAAACGCCGCCGCCGAGGTTTCAGACGCCGCTCTTCCATCTCCCTGCGATCGCCCACAAACTCCTTCCGCTCACCTTCTGACCTCCGTTGTTATGGAGAATCTCAGCGAACTCCAGAATCCGTTGCTGGACAAAAACAGTAAGCACATGGTCAACGGCTACGGGGGAGAGTTCCCCAACAACCAGTACCAGGAAAACATCATTAACTACTTTGCTGGAGGAGGAGGAGGAGGTGGCGGTGGTGGAGGCGAAGGCGGAGGAGGAGGAGGAGGAAAAGTGAGCAACGGCACCGTGGTGAGCGGAGGCGGCTACAACACCAACGGCAAGATGAAATCGCAGCAGTTCTTGGACGCCACCTCGCTGCATCTGGCTGTGGAGGCCTTCTACAGGCCCAACTTCATCCTGTACAAGGAGGACAGCGGCAGCATCAAGGCCAAGGAATACAAAAGCGAGTGCTGCGAGACCACGTTCACGGAGAAGAAGGCCAAGGAGGCGTCCAGCACGCCGGGAGCAGAGACGCCCGGCACCGAGGACCCTCAGGCCAAGCTGCTGGAGGACGGAGAGCACATCAAGATCCAGACGGTGTCCTACGAGGTGGAGGAGGAGGAGTACGTGGAGTACGAGGTAGGAAGGAAAACACATGAGCAGCGTAACAGCCGTGTTGGTCCACAGCGCAAAATACTCATGATAAATACAGGAACTTTAATCGCATTGAAGCTTTGAAAGCAAAGTGACAAAGTGCTTTATGACAAGGCAAGCAAGTTAGAAAGCAAATAAACAAATAAACAGGCACAAAAAAACAAGATAAAAGTGTTAAAGCAGCTCAAGACAACACTCTTATGTGGCACATCTAAGACAACAACCGCTGGACCAGACTGCTTTGTACTAAACAGAATCATAAATGCAGTTAAGTGCACTTCTTAAAATCAAACCGGTGGTAAACCTGTGAGATATGTACATGTTTTAGGGCGTTCCTTGTAGCAGGGCTTCCTAACAGCGACGGAAACCAGCAAACCTGTAGGTTTAATGCTTCCAAAGGTGTGTTTTACCCCAAACAATGAACTTGACCTGCAACTAACCAAGAAGTTCTAGGAGTTAACAAAACCACAGGTTATGATTTCATTACTCCATAACAATCAGTTTTCATTGCAGATTATTCCCGTAGATGTTGGCCAGCAGGGACTTCCTCCACCTTTTAGTTTAGGTGCGTTTCCATCCTTTCTAATCACTGACAAACAGGAAGTGACCTCGATAACATTCACCTAACTCCAGCTCAAAGCATCTTTAACCCAAACCATGATCCATTTCTAAACTTAATCAGGTCGTTCTGGAGGCTAAACTTCACCAAACATTGAGTGAAAATGCAAGTAGACAAGGAGCAGAAAACAGCAAGCGAACGCAAAAAGATCAGCTGACAGTGAAAGATCAGCGCTACAGGAACGGTCCAAGGCCCGGCTCGGCTCTAAGTCACCTGAGATAAAGGACCTGTGGCACCGTCAGCCTCCAGATGTGAACTTTTATTCGTCTTTGTCAGTGTGAAGCTGTGGCTCCACAGCCATCAACGGGGTAATAACAGCTTATAGAGTCCACCAGAAGGTGGAGGAGGTTCCTACAACAGGCGGGCAAAACCAAACTGATTCAAAACAAAAGCTTCCAGGCCAGTGAGAAGGTCCAAAACAACCGGGACACAGAACTCATCCATCCACCTCCTCATCTGGATTCTGTTCCCCTGTTTTCATGTGAAATGAGAGAAACTCATGAGTCACATGACTTGGACACGAGCCAATAGAAATACCCCCACCAACAAATGTAGGCGTCTCACAGCTTCACAGCTTTTATTGTGAAATGAAGACGCCTTTACGCTGTGGACCGACAAAGCTGTGACACATTGTAGTGAGTTTACGATGCAGCGGGAGGAAACGTGAACGCTCGTACGTGTCCAGCTGCATAGATGTTGGATTATGATGTTCACGGAGAGGTTTGATCTTAACGTAGAAAAAAAGTGTGTAACCTTGAGTTAGATGAATGCGTCTTCACCTGAAAGAGTTTACACGATCAAGAACACCAAATCACACACAGATATAACTAAATATGAACTGGATGAGTTTAGTAACCCTCTGAACTCCAAGCACTTCTTCTGCTCCTGTCACTGTTTTACTCACGATGGACTCAAACTTCCATGGAAACAGCACGACCACGGCTAGAAATGAAGAGAACTCAGGAACGTCTTCTGCACAGTGTGACACTTAGAATTACACCACAAACAGACACAATAAAGTTGAATTTATCTTTTTTCACACAACTGTAGAAAGATGTTCCACCATCAGATGTAGAAAGATGTTCGGAGATCCAAACTGATATCTGATTCCAGCACAGTGAACCAATACTCGGCTATTCAGGTCCAGTCCTTGTATGAAAACCCACATTTAAATACTCCGGGTCATGTTTTTGCCAACTTGCGTCCCGACACAAACTTAAAATGAACTTCTAACAAACTATGGCTACCGTGCCTGTCAAAATAAAAATGTTTTCAAAATAAAAAATAAGCACAACCTGAGACGCACATTATATATTATTTCATTTTGACCAGCTGTCCGTGACCCACCCAGAACAGGTCCGCGACCCACTTTTGGGTCGTGACCCATCAGTTGAGAACCCCTGCTTTATGACACAAACATCCTTCATCATCTGCATTTATTATATTTTTAACTGGCTGTATTATGGATGGATGTTAACCGATTACAGATTAATCATT